GTCTATCTTGGCTGGTGCTCGGATAAGGAAGCGTCGGCCATATTGGCCCTCTCTCTCTCTCTCTCTCTCTCTTGCCAGCCAATATCTCAAAAGCGTGAAGACGCCTGTGGCACATCAATTACCTAGAGAGATTGATTGGATCACGGCACGTCCTTCTCAAGCGTAGCGGCTGTCAATGGCACCTGGCCGTGCAACCAAGTAAGAGTGAAAGCTTGAGAACCGAATCCTAAACCGAGCGGCCACTGCCAAACCAAATATGAGCACCTGGCGACACGAATCACTTGGAGTCTCATGCTGCGGGGCGGGGACCTAGTACGGCACCAGCAGGCACTCGCACGGCGAGCTCAGTAGAATGAACCTGCAACTCGGCGTGGAGAGGCACCATGAAGCTCGCCAGTGAAGTCTGAGGCTATCACCACCTGATTGTGCCTTGCAACCGATTCCAGTAGAAGGTCCTGCAAATCGCAGCTTGAAGACCGGCATTTTCAATACGTCGCGGTTCGCATATACGCTTGTCTTGACAGTTTTCTCTCAATGCCGTCTGCACTCGGTCCAGCCCGTGCTGCTGCGCTGAAGGTAGATAGCGAATCTCGGCAGGTATCTGTTTGTATCGTATCTATCAATGCACACTGGCAAAATACGATCTTCCGGATGTTAACCAGGTCACGTAATGGCCGCCGAAATCAAAACGAAAGCCTGAAAGCCAAGGGACTTTGGCAGTCTCGACTTGTACTTGGCAGGCAGCAATAGGCAGCACAGGCCTCGAAAACGAAGAATGGTGCCAGGATGATGTAGAAGGACCTGATACGACAAACGTTCGAGGTCAACCACCATCATTGAAAAGTCATTAACAGGAGAAGGTCGTTTGCATCTGGGAAACCGGCGAGTTCAGAACCTCCAGCAGTTTCAACCAAAGGAGCGTGCTGCTGGCCACGAGCGCCCTGAGAGAAAGATGACCCAAGTCCAGGCGAGTCGCGGGACATCGCGGGACGCAGAGACTGAGAGCAGCACAAGCAGAAGAGGCAATGGCCGAAACGCACCAGGAAGTAATTCAGTGCCCGACTGGACAGATGTGAAAAGCACAAAGCGTTAGAGTCTTCTCGGCTCTAAAACCTTTTTCGTCAGTCCCTGGCAGTCTGCGCTGCTTCCGTTCCTGCTCACGTGCCTCGGTGACGAAGGAAAGCACACAAAGGCTGAGCCAGCGGCCCGGTGCTGCGCCTGCTCGCCGCGTTGTTGGAGCTCGTTTCGGGCCTGGCCAAAGCCGAAGCACGCAGCAGCACCTCTCGCCGCTCTGAGGCGACCACAATCTCTAGGTCCAGAAGGTGTTCGCGACCTGAGGTCTGCAAGGTCTCGGCGAGACTCGGCGAATCCCGAACAGCATCCACAGACCAAAAGCGACAAAGCGCTGCAGCACAGCCGGCCGTCAGAAGAGCTGTGTGCTGCTGGGTCACTCACACCAAAGAATATGCGGCTGTGACTATGTGGAAGACTGCATGAGGAGGAGTGAGTGACTGGATGGACTGAGGGTGGAGAGAGTTTTGGCTGCCGCCTGCGCAGAGGCGCAAGTCCAAGCCAAATGTTTAAAAGCTTGATCACAATGTCAGCGCTGGACAGATCAAGGGAACACTGATTCATTCAGCACGAGGCAGCTTTCCCGGATGTTGCGCCAAGGCCAGTGCGCTTGAAGACATACAGTTGCCGTGGATGGAACTGCCGATGCATAGCCTTTCGATCAGTTCGCTGCTGTCTGATACATCAATCCCACAATGACTGCATGATAATCACAGCGAGCTTGCACGTCTTCATAGTCAGGCTATCTTGGGATGCAATGGCACAAGAGCACGATCAAGATTCCAGCCATCCATGTCAGCAGCATCGCTCGGTGTGTAAATGATGCCTGCCAGATCCCAGCGTCGTCCGAAAGGAAAAACCATTAAACGAAAAGCATGGTGCTCCCCTGCTCAGCGCCCAATTTGGAAACAAGCATGGGCGGCGCTGAAGTCGACCCGGAGCAACATTTGCCAGAGCTCTGGGTTCTCCGACCTGTTTCAGGCACATGCCGACAGCACCCAGCTGGCCCGACGACGGGGGCCAAGCAGTTTCGACATCCTCTGGCAGGAAGAGCTGATGCATCCTCGCGAAGCGAGGAAGGGAAGAGAACCCGAGAACGGCCCCTTTTGCCGCTTGGACCTGAGAGCTCCGTCGCTTCCAAGTTGCTCAAAACCCGCTGCCAGCACCTGCGCAAGAAGGAGCCAGGCCCGGGCTCCGACGAAACCACCAGAACCCCCCTTTTTGCCCTAGTTGGTGCCAAGGAGCTCATCCGGCAGAGGCCTCGATTCCGAGCCACGTGCCATGGACAGGAGCGCGTCGATGGCACCTGCTCTCCGGTTTGGATGCAAACCGCCGCTCAAATCCAGTCTTCTCTGTCAGATACACTGGCCTCCCTCCATCACCACGCCATCCAAATGCTACTGTCTCTACGCCCCAATTTTATCGACTTACTTTCAAACCTGCTTGCAGCTGGAGTGGAAGGAAGCATCGAAGCAAAATGCTCTGCACCCTGGCTTTCTCATGTACAAGTCCATGCACAGTCTATGATGCTTTCGGGCTCAGAACCACTGGACACAGATCTTTCGTGTAGCCAGTGCAGAATTTGTACCTCTGTATGCGAGCATCCAAAACCACTGCAGGAGTCGGGGAACCGCTCCCTTTTACATGTCCTTAAACCTGGCGATACACTTGCGTGAGCTCCTTTTAGGTACTCCACGCAAGATTTGCTTAGGAGGGAGTCGTCGTGAAACGAAAGGGTGAGAGAGAATGCATAACGAAAGTGTGAGACTATTACGCCAGGTTGTCCGGCTCGAGGAAAAGCCGCCGCGACCGGCGAAAAGCGCGTTCGAAGCGCTGCAGCGTCGCAACGAAGGCATCGTCCTTGTCCAAGGCTGGATCAATGTGCTCCAATGTGGACTTCAGGGACATCCTGAGCCGCGACGCAAAGGCTTCACATGCACACCGCTCTCTTTCTCGCTTCTTACGTCCGCCCAGCCACGTAATGGCACTCCCTTTACAGCCGGGTGCATGAGACTAGGATCACCGACGATTCGGCCCTCGTGCTCTTAGGCACATGCTTGATGCCCTAGTAAGATCTTGGCTTATCAATGCCCTTCATGCAGATCACGTGATCCCCTCAAAATTTGACAGTTCGCTCCGGTGTCTCCGTGTACTCCCTGCGTTCATCTTTCACTCGTGCTTCTTCATTGCGGGTTTGAAGGCCGCCGTTGGCACGACGGAAAAGAGGCGGCAATGCTAGCCAGGTCGGCGGGTACGGCCAAAACACTTATGCTGTCCTGGGCCTTCTGGTCACCTCCATGTGCTATGTCGCTCTCTGAAGATGACACAAACACCGCAAAGCTGCGTGCTGTCACAGCAGTGTGACAACCCGAGCTGCCTCCCGACCATTGTGGTTCCAATCTGAGCAGGAAGAACTGGCAGCGAGGGTAAGCTAGCAAAGGCTGGCAGCCAGCTCTTCACCCCGTCTCTTATCGACGACGACGGCCACAAGTCCGACATCATGAGAAGGAGGCACAAACACCCGGCCGCCACACCCCAAACCCTAAAGCTTGACGACATCTGGCCCTGCTTGCGAACCGATGTGCATGATCGCCAGGGTTACCGAGACATTCCTGGAGCGGTGGCCCGAAGTGGACCATTCATGCAGCAGATGTCGCGGACGCGCCCAGGAACAAGACAAAGGACAGGTGTCACGGCAGCAGTTTTGCTGATGAGCAACCAACCTTGGACAACAGCGACGACAGCACCAAGGTGTTTAACAATGGTGAGATCTGCTCCCATCTCAAGGCCTTTTCCGCCCTGGTGCCACGAACCGACGGCCAAGACTAAGACTCAGCTTCCCGTGCCTTCCGAAAGAAACGGGTCGGAACTGTGACTGTTGCAAGTCGCTCAGAAGGCGTGGGCGCAGTATGGGGCACTGAGCAGTCTCCGACTTACTTCGCAGTGCTGCGTCATATTTACGATGGCTTCGTTCAGCAGTTTCCGTATTGCTGGACGCTCCTGCTTGCTTTCCTAGACATAGGTTGGGTGAACATGAACCATTCTGTCTTGGCCAGCCTGCTCTCTTCTTTCGATTGTCTATGCGGGCTGACGAACGAGCTCAATGGATCTATATCCGAACTTCGCAATTGAGATATGATCAAGAAATTGTATCTGGTGTTTCGCGATACCTGCACAAAGGTGAATTTGCCTGGCATCACCAGGATTTGCGGATGCCGCATCAGATGCTGCTGTAAGAAACCTTTGAATAGTATTTGCGGTTGATAGTTATACGTCGAAGTCATGTCTCTGTAATCTACGTGCCTTCTAAGGCACGTTCAACTAAACCCACGTGAAGCGGACTTCTTGCAGCTTACTCATGGGAATAGCCAAGCACTTAGTCATATTGTTGCGAGATTCTCTCGGTCAGACTCAACAGTTCGCTTAGCCCCCTACCTGGTGTTTCGAAGGGGATGGAGACTAGGAGTACGATTCCGCTTGACTTCCTGGAGAACTTGACTTTGGATGTCTACATCATGTCATCGTGTTCCTACTGGGAATGGAAAGCTCGTCTTTCTAATGCGAACATGCGTTGCCGAAAGCCTTTTCCCGGGTCAGGCAGTGCCAAACCCAGATTGAAGTTGAACACTTCTACTGTAAGCACCTAGATGGCGAGCGGTGTATAGAAACCCATATTGAATCTTCGTAACCAGCCAGATGTCGAAAACATAAGATATTTCTGGAGCCTCCCAGTGCAGGTCTTTCAACACACACACACAGAGGACGCTAGCAAGCGGCCGCGGGCATAGTGCCAATGGTGCTGCTTGGACCAGATCTAGTCAACCCCTGCTGCAAGCCTCGTCCTACAGCCAAGTGCAACTCTTCGACACGCAACGCAAGCCTCTCAGGGTTGTCTCCACGGAGGTCCAAAGCCAGATGAAGAATGAAACTACCAAGGTCATCCAGGTCAACATTAGGAAACTACGTCTTCTCGGGCACAAGCCAGTTGTGGGCGGAAGGAGCCGTCTCTACGAAGCAACAGAATGGTGTGCGCAGGTCTGTAAGGGAACTCCACGCGAGATTGGCGAGTACTAGTAAACATCAGGAACAACAAGAATAACACGAACGGGTGCGGTCCCGGTTGCTCCGGCAGGAGTTGTGCACATGATCCATGCAGTATGATATATTCAATATTAACACATGACAGTCTGGCTCCCCCTCCGCTTTGTGCCAAGCTGCAGCATGTCCTTCAAACCTTCGAAGGCGCTAAGTAGCTCGTTGGCATGGTCTGCAGCCTTCTGAGCAAGATCACCACCTCGAGGCAGAAGTTGAAACACTGTGGCCTTGGCCTCGTGCATTGCCCCCGCCTCGGGCATTTGCCTGATTCGCGTCCCCTGATGTGCCAAGCCTTAGATCTCGCAAGTGCAAAAGCGCAGTGACATGCTGGACGGCGCAGCCTGAACACACCTCTTCGACTCTTCGACTGGCGAGGCACAGTTTGAAGGCATAGCTTTCTAGAGGCACGCCTTGCCCGTCTCTCGGAGCAAGGGCATGGGAGCCTAGTAGAGTCGACGCTTCATTCGCAGTGACCTGGCGAAGGGAAAGTCTCGAACAAGAGGCGAGGGTTTCGGTTTCGGACCTGGTGGTCCGGGAAAACCACGTTCGGTGCCGATGAGAGCTTCTCCAGGAGGTATGGCTGCGTTTTCAGCTTCTCCCCGCGGAGCGAGAGCACGTGGTCCATCAGCAAAAGAAGCCTCGCGTCGTGATCCTTCTCCCGCTTGTTGGACGGCAGTACAGAGGCTGCCAGCTCCCCAAAAGCATGCACAAAGCCCTCGAGGCACTTCAAGGTGATGGCCTGAGCAAGAAGACCCTGCCATGCTCAAAAACTCTGTGTCTGCGGCTCCAACCGAGGCTACAGTGCTCCGGGTACGGTGACAGGACACGGCGATTCTCATGAAGCAACACAGCAAGCTACGACGGCAGCACCTTCTGGTGCTGCACTCGGGGCCACGGCAGAAGCCGCTCCTTACGTGCGCGCTCCAATCGGCTCTGCTGCTCAACTGCGACTGCCTCTGCTCTCTGTGCTTGGATGCGATGCACGTGCAGCTGAGACGAGTCTCTTTTTCTGCTGAAATTATAAGTGGCTCCAATGCCAGGATAGCCTTGACAGAGGGCTGTAATGCCTCTACTGCATGAACTTCCCGGTTCCGAAGCCAAGCCGACCTTGGGTACATCTCTCGGGCCAACACGCCGGACACTGCAAACCACCAGTACGCACCAGCGCAGCGCATCTCAAGTCAAGAAGCTCCCAGGCATGCCAGGCACTGGCAAACTTTCGTATCATAGCATCCGGCAAGCGGTCGATCTCTTTCGACGCTTTCTGCCTGATCTTGGCGACCAGCGCCTTGTAGGAGATAACCAGGTTATCCCGAAGAACGAGGACCTTCCAGGGATGACGCTTCCTCTTATTGAGTCTACTCAGTGAGCCGTCCTCGGGATCGAAAAGGAGCTGTGCGCCGTTGATTGTCCTGTGTTCAGAGTCTGCAGAAGCCTTCGACGCCACATGCAAGGTCTCAGCCAAGGCTCTCATAGGCTCCCAGCTCCAGGGCTTGCATGAAAACGGCGGGCGGCAGCAACTCTCCCGATTCGAAGAGGTACCGGAAGCGGGGGAAATCCTCCCGCTCCTGCGACGCCACCCGCTCGAACTTCCCAACCTGACCACTTTGATCTCTTTGCTCGTGCAATCTGCTGCATCCCTCTCCATCCTCTCCTCTAAGCTTCTTCCCCCGTGCCTCCAAGGCTTCTGAGATTGCATTCAGGTTTCGAGGGATCCTCGGAGAACCGTCACTGTGAACAGGGTTTAAGGTTTGGGGTTCAGGGTTTATACGACCAGAGCAGCAAGCAAGCGGACAACTCTTTCTACTCCAGCGCTTGCTGTACATTACATTACACACGTCGTACTGGTAGGTCTCTGACCGACTTCGTGGCATAGTTTCCCACGTGTTGCCCTTTCTAGGCTTGTTACATCTAGGCGCCCGAAGCACAGCAATTCTGGCTGGTACTTCTACATTAGCAGAGAGGTGGACCTGCCATGATAGGGGAACTCTCGAGCGATACGGCCCGGCCTTCTTGCAAAATCAGCTGGCAACTAAGGCAGTAGCTCAGCTCTGTTCGAAGGTTTGCAGTAATCTTCTCGCAAAGCTCTGACTCCCAGTGTCGCGTTCGCCGCCATCGCAGTACCTGCCGTCTGCAGCACCTTCGCCATCTGGCCATGAAAGCCTGTGGGCCCCAGCTTTGACCCGGGATGCTACGCAAAGTTCCAGCACCTGTACCCATCGTGACGAAGCCAATGCTCAGAGATACAAGTCGCCCTGCAAGGCAGCCTTTTGCGCGACGACATGAGCGGAGCGGTCCTTTCTTTGGCAGTAGGCTGCTAAGGAACACGCGCCGTTGCAAATCTCACTGCGACGGTACCTGACGGATCCCAACTGTCACCGGCTGGGCAGCTCGGATCCCCTGAGAGCCTCTTGGAGCCAGCAGTTCAGCAGCTCGGGTGAACGCGCGTGGGGGACCAGCGGCAGTGCCCCGAGGCGCCGCAGCTCTGCATGGTAAACCTCGTGATGACAGAGCACCGTGGTCCAGCACGGTCCAGCAACCCCGCGTCTGCAAGCTTTATTGCAGCTTCTCTCTGATTCTTGCAATGCAAGAATGAACAACAGCGAGATTTCTTTGACCGACTCGCAATCTCCAAACGAGTCCTATCGATCGATAGTGAACCCTAACTTCAAGGCGGCGGGTGCATAGGGCGCCGTGTTACTTTTTTGGATCTTCTTCCGCTTTCAGCACATCTTGGATGCTTCCATGGGGTGGCGGGGGGCGCGAGACAATGATGTCGGTTCCAATGGCGAGCATACCCAAAACATTGGTATTCTCATGTGTTTACGGAGTTTTTGCCGGCTTATTGTGCATCAACATACTGCGGAAGGATGTGGGACATTGACGCAGACGCACTGCCACAAGCGTTCAAGCCTTACATGCCTTGTGAGCGTGCCGAAAAGACTGGAATTTGCAGCCTTTGGGCACTTTACGCAACATCGCCAGACGCACTATCACTTTGCCTCCTCGCACAGCATAATGGGCAACGATAGGGTCATGGCGATGATAGTGAGTCAGTGAAGCGCCAGTCTTGCAGCGTCTCAGCCCCGTTCCTTCAAGGCGGAAGTCAAAGCGGCGGGCGAGCGGCTCTGAGACGCGGGAGAAACGGGAGACACGGAAGACTGGCCTTGACGGTCTGCCGAAGGAGCTGGTGAGCCTCCGAAGCGGGGAGCTCCGACATCCTCCAGAGCTGTCGAACCAGTCTCCTGAACGCAGAGCTGGGCCCCGGTCCCCCCATGTCCCCTCCGTCCCCTTCCGCCAGCCTGGCAACGTCGAAGCGCTGCTGCAGCCGCCGAGCATCTTCAGCGACTCCCTCTTCGTCGTCACAGCCTCGCAGAGCCCGGGCCGGGCCGGACGTGAGGACGCGGGTGGACGTGGATAGACGTGGACTGCCCGGGCCTTTGTGATAAGCGTCCTGATACTCCAGACGCCAACGGCAGAGTTGCAGCTTCAGCTCCCGTAAGGTTTCCATGTCCTGCAGGGCAAACTGCACTGTATTGCACTGTATTGCTCTGCATTGCTCTGCAACAGCACTTACATCAGCACATCGTCGACATCTTCTGAACGCTTCCTTGAACCGCCGCTGCAAGGACTCGAGGTGGAAATCTCGCACCTCGCCTCGCGAAGTCGCGAAGGCTCGGAACACCCATCACATCGCGTCGCGGATCCGGAAATCCGCTTGCCAAGACCACCCGATGTGACGACGGTGCCGCAGAGTGGCGGTCAAGCCGACTGTAGTCGGCTTCGCAAGCCTTCCATGCTTCCTCGAGCTTCGGCATGTAGCCTGCGAAACACGTCTGTAGGGACTGTAGGGACACTGCCGATTGTCAGCACGGGCCCCGCACGAGAACGGAGCTCGCCCGCCAGGCCTTCCAGCTTTTGACGAGCTGCCTCGAGGCCGAAAGCAAAAGCACGCAGCAGAGTTTGGGGCCCCTGTTGCATAGCTCAAAGTCATCTGCCCGCTCCTCGGCCACGGAACGAAGTTGCTGCAAAGGTTCCGGGTCCTCTCCGCCTGCTGCATTCAGCTCGGTTTCTCGATTCTCATGTTCTTGCTGACAGAAGGGCACCTGGGGCTCCCAACAATCTGGAAGGAGCAGAGGCCTGAATTGCCTGTTCAAGATCCTGCCAGGAACAGAATCTGCAAAAGGCGGGTCGGCGGATGGCGGTACCACCTGCTTCGCGAGCCCTGCTTCTCGCACTACGAAAGACTCATTCAAGTCCGCAGTGCTTGAAGCGGGCGGTCCTTCAGAGCTTCTTTGAGCTCCGTGTCTGCTTCAACCTGCAAGTGATCCAGGTCCGCTCGCTGCGAGCGCATCCAGCCCTGTTTCTCCTCAAAGCACTTCGGATTACCATCACGAGAGGTCACAAGCAGATGAAGTAAGCACCCCACCGTAGAAAGATGGCCTTCCAATTCGCCAGTCTCCCAAATCTGCACATCCCGAGTTCGGACATCCAGCTCGACACCAGAAGATGCAGGATACAAGATCCGAGGCGGCATAAGACCACAGAGCTGGGACGGGGCTCGTAGTTGAAGCTACGTGCTCCCACACATTGCTTGGGACGATATGTGACAATATCCAAACAAGTGGAGCAGCTCTGACAACCTCACAGTGGACTGATGATTGTGACACATGCACACGGCTCTTGGAAGCAGCTGCCTGTTGTAGATCTTCCACGCGAGCACCGCCAACACGACCGGAACTGCGGTGTGCCTGGCGGAAGTCTCGAGAGCAGAAATTCGAAGTGGCAGGGGCCATGCGACAATGGCGCTTTGCCTCAACATGATGACGCCAAAGGTTCCTGCAAAGCGCACTGACACGCACCGACGCGGAGGGACCTAGCCGACCTGGCCATCCTCACTACGAGCATGACTTCGTCGTCCACACAATGTGTAAACTTTGCGTACACTTGTGCACCACCCACCCAGCCTTTGGAGTTGCTCCTCCAGATGCTGCCTAGGATCCGCACACGTCAAGCTCGTCTCTGTCTTCGGGTTTGATCTAGGTTATAGGCAGCTAGGCCCGCTAGGCACTAAACAGACTCACCACCGTACTGGTACAGGACCGTGTGTTTCTCTCCGGGCCCCGGAGCCACTTGGAGGCCATGGCTTGGTCGAAGGCGGCGCCCAAGCCTCGCATCTGCGCCACGCCCACCGCAGATCGGAGCACTCGGCTCAGGCTGCTGCGGGCCAGCTGCTGTCGCGCCAGGCGCTGTCCCTGGCCCACATGCCGCGCTCCCTCCGTTTGCGTGCGAGCTCCCTCACGTTCCGTCTGCTCTAAGCTGCGCGCCAGCTTCTCGCGGCCTGCTGCAAAGCCGCGAAGCTCTCGGCAAAAAGCCTCGTCACCTTGGCAGCGATGGCAGCGTCTGCGGGAACATCGGATCGCAAAGTCCAAAAAGAGACTAGGACTAGGAAAGGCGGCAAAGCGGCAGTCCTCCTTGGCTTTCCTTGCAGCGGTCGTCGAACAGCGCCGCTCCTAAACTTCTCGCATACGGTCGGATCCTCACGGGACTTTCCACGCCTCCTGCTGATCGGAGACCTGCGTGTGTAGGTGCTCCATGACCGTGGAGGCGAGGGACTCGCTCTTCGTGGCGGCGGCCTTGTAGAGTGGGCGGATCCGTGGGCGGATTCGGGCTTGCGTGCACCATGATCGCACTCCGCGTCTGGCCTGCTCCACCTGGAGGGCTCGCTCCAGGACCGAGCGCTGGCTCTCGGACCAGCGCCGCAGGCGCGCGGCCTGCGCTGAGCCGCGCGCGGGGCGCCGCAAGGAGTGCTCTTGAGGGCGCTCGCATGCGCTCGCCTGATGTTCGAGAACGGCCTCCTCGACATTCACCAGCAGGCAATCCACCTGAGAGCCAAGCCGACCAAAGGCACAGGCCGACCGCATCCGACCGCGCCTTCTCGGCCAGGCGTCTCTCAACGGGCGGCCTCGGAAGCGCACTGCGGGGCCCGAGACCGGAAGCGACAATGGGCCAAACAACTGGCCTTTGCCCAGCCATGGCATTGCACAGCTCAGGATCATGCCCCCCTTTAAATTGCTAAGGGCATGCTGTGCCCGGCCGCACTGCAGCGTTGCACGGCTACGTTGTGGTCGCGGGAAGTGACGCAGGCCAAGGGATAGGATTTCCCAAAAAGAAAACCGCTAGTCTTGTAGACAAGAATACTCCCAAGCAAAGCTCGCCGCGAAAGAAGAGGGATGGCTGCAGCTGAGCCAAAAAGGCATTTGTACAAATTCTCTTGCGGTCCCTCCGGCGGATCAGCCAACAATGCTAGTCTGCTAGTCCACAAGGGCCCAAGCCGTTTTAAATTTTAGCTGCAGCGCAATAGTCCCCTTCGTCCGCAAGTCGCAGACTCTGTGACTGTAGGCTGCCTGTACCTTGTCTTTACACCTTGGTGTCCCTTCCGGGACAGCGCTGGAGCGCCAGCGCTCCAGGCGCTCCTGTGCACTGTGGGCGGCCACAGCAAAGGCTCAAAGTCCCATTCAAAAGGGGCCTGATTTCAACACTAAATGACTAAATTTCGCACACAGCTGGGTCCGGAAAAAGGCACGTCACCTTGGCATCTCTGTACTAGAACTAGGCAGCAGCGGCCCTGAACCCAACTGCTTCTCGAATGCTCTGGAGAAGACATCTTGCGGAACTCATTAAACATGCACATCTCCAGGCCAACTGCGAAGCCGCCTGTCGTCACCCCACAAGCCATCCTCATCCCCTTCATGCCCGAACGTCGTGCCGATAGCACCGAACTTGATGTTGGTGAAAGCAACTCGGGCTGTCGGATACTTTTCACGCACATATGCCGGACTGCCCGTGTCCGTTCGACAAGGACCGCGGCTTACTCCTGGAGCAGAGGACTTCCTGTCCAAAGGATAATCAGAGTCCAGCCACAACATGTTCGCCTCGGAATCATCCCAGAGAGAAAGAACAAGCACCATGCCTCGATCCAAAGCATCCCCCATTGTCTTCAGGCCCCCTTTACGGTTGAAGTCGTCGATGTCGCCAAAAGCCTTTTTCATCTTTGCACAGAGTTTATCTGAAATGGAGTTGCCAGATAAGCCAGCGAGAGATACGTTCGAGTTCGGGATGACCTGCCCGTCCTGCACGTAGAATCGTCGGATGTCAACCAGGGCTCCATCGTCCGCATTTCCTTCTGTGATAAACTGAGTCACCACAGTGACCGGCTTGCGTGAGTTGATGTCAAAGGTGTGACCTCGACCGTAGAAGTTCCGCACTCCGAGACGCCAGGAGTTGAAGTCACAGCCATCCTTGTCGCAAACACCATCGTATCTCTGGCCTTTACTGGTGTCACCACAGTCAAGACCATCGCAGACATACTGACCTTCAATGGAACATGGGTGCGGAGTGTAAGCAGTGGCCCGGCTGTTAGCCTCCCAGATGTCCATCTCTTGGCAACAGCTGCCCCATTGCCCAATGGGCGGGTCGTGGCTGGCGTTCCAGTTAAGTACGTTTGCCCGGCCATTCATGAACTTGATGTCATGAGGGCACTGTGCATCGCAATAGCCAGTCCCATACTTGGCTCCGGCACGATTCGAGCCGCCGCTGCGTGAAACACCACCATCACGGTCCATTTCAACGAAGTAAACAGCCCCATTCAGACCGCAGGGCATGTAGAACATATCCACTGTCAGTGAGAATTCCTGAGCAAGCGCAACCGGAAAACGCTAGAGTGCAGTACCGGAATGTGCCAACCTGAAAAAGCAAAAACAACAACAACAACTTGCTGCATGCTCTGGCATGCACATGCTACCTAGCCCACACTGTAAGGCTCCTTGGCACTTCGTGGCCTTTCTTTTCCACCATCCCACGTCCTCCGCCCCCCGAAACTCGTGCTACAGCCACAGTACAGTAACAGTTTTGGCAGCTGGTCATGCGTCCGCCTCCCAGAATCGTGCTTGTGAACACAACTCGCCAATTTTGTCGTGGAACTCCTCCTCCCACCGCAGAGCATCACGTGTCCGCGTGCAAACATCGTGCTTGCGCCAGGGTGCAGCATGGTTCGTGTCATCACGATGCTCCAAATGCCTGAAAACAAAGCAGCTGTCTGGAAACTGGGGGTAACATTATGAGGGTGGTACCTTCCGTCCTGGCTCCAGCTTCCTGGTGGTGGTGGCGGTTGGGGGGTGGTCGCGGGTGTGTCGTCGTGGTGCTCGTGGGCTTCAAGATCTTTCGTGGTTGTCAAATTGGTACTGGTGGTCCTTGTCGTCGTGGTGCTTGTGGTCATTGTGGTCATCGTGCTCGTCCTGGTGCTCCTGGTCTTGGTCGTCGTGGTCGCGGTGATCGTCGTTGCAGAGGTCGGTCTTTCGCAGTTTGGGGATCTACTCTCCGGGGTGTTGGGGCGCAAGTGCCTTTCCGAAGCACGAGCAATATCAAGAAAATCCAACGACACTGCAGATTGTGGCAAGGATCTCTGTTCTTCAGCTTGAAGATCTTGTAGCTGTCGGAATCATCGAGCATGTAGATACGGCTCCCGAAATTAGAGCCATACCGGGTCTTCGTAACGAAGTTTAATTTCATGCCTTCGTCGATCTGTGTGACTCCGTAGGCTTTCCCGTATTGGTCCTGCGTCAGACTCTCGGAATCTCTGCCTGGCCTCTTCGCCGGACTGTCGGACCCTCCTCCCCAAACCAAATCACCTCAACACTTTGGACTGGCTGTCCTCGGAGATGCCCTCAAGATAACAGTTGCTTGCACAGGTCTCAGGATCTGGACACAAGTCCTTGTCCCAGTCACCATCCTTGTAACAGTTCCTGAGTTCTGCAAGCCAGACACAATTTGCGGGCGCCCACCCCCTACATCTACATCTTGACCGCCGGACGGATCATTGCAAGTGCCTTTTCGGGCATCTCTGACTCTCGACTAAGCTGACAACTGGTTTTATCCTCTTCGTCTCCGGGGTCAGATCCGACTTCCCACATCGAGCTTGACGTAGGCTTGTGTGTTGACGAAGGCTATCGTTCAGTGTGCCGGCCTAGTTGGGGGGCTCCACCTGTGACTCACGGCACTGCGTGCAGCTCGAGCTGCTTGTACTGGCCATTGTGGAGCCATCGCCAGTTGGCATCCAGAACCTGAGAAAAAACAAGGGTCGCAAACAAACGCCCCAAGCTGATGGCCGACACAAGATGACACAAGATACAGCAGAAGCAGGCACAGTGTTGAGCCTGGCTGCGGCTGTCTTCATTTCCTTGACACAGCCCGAGGCATCGCAGGTCCACAGGGGCAGCTCCTCCACAGGCGACCGTCCAGTCTGTGCACATGATCCGTTATCCCAGCCCAGCGGTCCGGATGGGACTCGACGACTTGGGTCCCTGGCTTCTGAGCCAGAGCCGTCGCGAGGAGACCAAGCCACGGCAGTGGTGTCATGCCTCAGGGATCGGATTCGGACCAGGGTTCTCATGGTGTCGACGCTATCCGCTATCCAGCTGAGGCACCGGTGGTGGTTGGGCTCTGAAACTCGTGTGCGGACTTCGCTCGTCAGCAAAATGCTGCATAGGACGGACACCGATTCCGCTTCCACACATCGCGAGGCATCTGTGCTGGCTTGGCAGGCTTCGAGCTGCACACCCTCAAAGCAACAACTTTTTTCCGGATTCGCGTGCGACTCGTGGGAAACACTCGCATCTCAACACGCCTCAGCTCAAACCGTTCCGTCAGTCAACTCGTGCTGCTTGCAGACTTCGAACGGAGGAGAAGCACGGGGAAAGCTGGGCTGCCGTACGCACTCCGTCTGGCTGGACCTACCTGATCTTCCAGAACAAGCTTGTTCAAGCAACATCCCATGCGAAACTCAGCAGAACCACACAGAACACCAAAAAGGACCTTCGGAAAAACTCTTTAAAACCATCGGGCCCGGAGGCCGGCGGTCGTTGTGTCAGCAAAAGCTACAGAGGACTGGCCGAATCTCAGAGCCAAGCCCTGCAATTGGAAGTTGTTCGTTGGGTCATCCTGTCTCAACTCTGCGACGGCTGACACCACTTCGTGAAGCCGCCACAGCCTCACGATCTCTTCGATGCTGGGTCGTGTTGTAAATCTCCTGACACAGAAGATCAATCAGCTTCTCGGGATTTCGATGAACCCCTCAACGACCCGAAGTCAGCAGCGCTGCGCGGCTTCACCCAACAGTGTTGAGCAACGTGCATGCAAAGAAAAGGGAAGCTCCAAATATATCAAGGGCTGACCTGGGAAGTGGGGATCCGCAACTGCGATCCTGCGGCATGCTTCTTCCTCAACGAAGTTCTACAACGGTTTACAACGTCTAATGCACATTAGCTACAACAAAATCCTGCACGAAGAATTCCGAATCCTACCTCCTGACGAATCTGGCGACGGAATGCACATGAATCTTTGCTCGGCTGGTGGAAGTAAACACACGGCTCGTGCGAAGGATTCGACCAAGTATCGACAACACAAGAGGTAGCGGGTAGCGATGGGGTCAGCATGTCTGCAAGTTAAAGACTCGGTGATCATGCATAGGACATCTCAGAGATGCCCGTGGTATAAATCACGCTGTACATGCACCATGAACGATGCCTTCACGACGGAAGAACACCCTCGTTTGCTTGCGTTACTTGCATGCCACATCGCACCTGCAATTTATGTCATTGACCAACTTCTGTTGAACGGAAAGTGCTATGGCTATGGCCCACAATTGCTCGAGCTTGGATTGTGTCGGCTTCGGGGAGGGCCGTGTTGCTGGGATCACACAGTGGCTCACAGAGTCTGAACTCCCCGCTTTCAGAAGCTTCTCGAAGCAGAGCTTGATATTCGCGCCAGTCACAGCGCTCGCCTTCACAGACTTCAGATGGTCGACTGCAGTCAGGCTGACTTCGAGACTTCACATGAGCCGGCATCAAGATTATGTGTTTATGCCAGCTTCGTCCTTAGATCCCTTCGTTTTAAAGCGTTTGCAACTTCAAGCCCATTGGAACTGCGTTCGAATAGTGAGATACAGTATTTAACATGCGGCATTGCAGGGCGTGGCCTTGGGTCGGGGCCTTTGGGTTCGGAGAGCATGCGAGGCTTTTTGCGAAGGGGTCAGTCTGTTTGGTTTTATAGGTTCGAGAGTTTAAGTCTGTTTGGAATCTTCAGTTTCGGGCTTTCGGGCTTCTGGTCCGAGCAATATAGTACTGAGACCGCCACGGGCCCATCTAGGCCATTCGGAACGACAACCTCTCTTGAAGGCAACAAGAGAGAAGCTAAGGTTATAATGGCGACATTGGTGAATTTAGGAAATCGTCTTCAGGGTGCCCCCTATCGTTTTACAGATGCCCAGCTCACATGCAATCACAAGCTCAGTTGAAGCCTCTTCGAAGAGGAGCCCCTGCTGCGATGCAAAGTCTGCAGCTGCGTCGAAATCGACCTGACCCACGCCATGTCGCCATGCCGCCATGCCATGCGAGGCGCAAAGTGGAACTGGGGCTTTGACCTGGCGGTCGCCTGGATTCTTTTCTGCCAGGTCTACCTCTGCTGCGTCGAAATTCCTTGAGCTTCGACCTCAGAGCTCCCGCCTTGTTCCCAACCAGCATGATCACGATGTCTGGCTCGGCCTCAGTTCCGTGCAGCAGCCAACGCCCAGATCCAGATAAATCCAGCCAGTGCTGTGAGCTGCGTTGGAGCGCAGCTCTTCCATCCATCGCTCACCTAAGCCAGTAGCCGTGCGGAGTGCCCCAAAGCCAAAGCTCGGGCACGAGCAGCTTTTGAACGTCGCTGGTTTCGTGATGTCGTACACGAGCAGTGCCTGGCTTTCAGCACAGGTCCGCCAAAGGCCCCTCGTTGTAGCCGTCAACGGCGGGAACATGAAGGCTTCCTCATCCAAGTAATTATCTTTCGGGGCACAGGAGATATCACCAGAAGGAGGTTTGGTACATTTCGCACAACAAAGCAAGATAGACAGAGAAAAAACACCATGACTGGTGTACTTAGAGCCCTGGGCCCAATATGATCTTACTGGTCGAAAGGGCAAAGGAGGCCGGTCTGTAGGCCAGGCCTCTCCACTCAATCCACGAGGCACTTTGAACATTGACAAGTGCTGCACCAATGGTGAATGCTGATCAGCTTAGTATTTCTTTGAATCAGAACGAGTCAACGACTCCTCGGCTGACACCTCAAAAACACGCAAGAGCGGCGCCGACCGCTCGTCTGTAGTGAGCGCTCGTGATCGCGCGGTACCTTCCGACACTGACATCCGGCGGAGGCCGGGGCATCCCGCTTGGGTCGTCTAGCTGAAGCGACGTCCCGATTTCCAGCTTCTAGTTGTTTCAGGTCATTGTCCCCCTAAAGGCCCTAAAGCGCTGCCCACCTCTCTTGTCCAGCTGTGTCCCAGATCTGGGCTTTCACTGCGCCTTGGGTGCAGAGCATCATCATTGTCAGGGCGGAGGACAGGAGCCGGGGATTGCACAGCCTGCATCCAGACTGACCGTCCGTGTCGCAAACTCCACACCGATCGTGGCCGTTGGCCTCACAGGTCCAACGTCGCTGTGAAGCTAAACGTAACGTATCTGCTCTGTTTTTCTCTGTGGCCAATCTTAAACGAGCTCACGCACTTGGCCCGATGCGCTTTGGGCAACGTGCCTTTGATGTATCGCGACCTTCGACTTCTAAAGACCCATCTGTGAGGGCGTGGAGTTCTGAGATATGGGCAATATGTGGGTCTTCCCGACCGTCGCGTCCTGTAGTCCATGGCAAACTTTGAAGACGTGCACGAATAGAGTGATATCCAAGGCCGCGGCTCCAACAAGTACTAGCTTGTAGAGATGATCATAGTCTTCCTGGCTCTGGTCCGCGACAACTTCGCACGTTTTTCGAGAAGTCCGCCTCTCCAATCATGTGCCCGGATGCCCGGCATGAGGCGAAGAGTTGTTCCAGAATGTGTCTCTTTCGCAGCGCTACGGGTTTATGATGCTCGTTCGATGAAGTGACGACTGTGTCGGCAAGACTGTCTGCACTGTTTTGTTAGTCATCCTGCACTGTGGAAAACTGCGAGCGAGTTGCCTACAGCATTCCGTTGGGGCGGGCAATGCCCTGGTTCAGTGCTTGCTCCAATCGTTTGAGTCTAGTCGAGCACACTTTCAAGCGCAGGACCCCGAACCTGTTACGTCTACCGACAACTCCTGGTAGAAACTTGCTGGAAGGCTTTGGAAGCATCTCTATCCAATACAACTCAATCTTGATCACATCATCCTGCTCCTTAAATTTTGGAATAAAGATCTTTCCGAAGCCAAGAAAAATGAGAATCAACACTTCCAATGTTCGGAAAGGCGAATTCCCAATGCGGATGTGTTTATGTTATATAAGAGGGATTTGACTTGCATACAGAAGCGCTACGGCTCGGCAAAGATCCTGAGGGCTCAGCAGAAGAGGGACAAACAGCAGCCAAGCAAACTGAGAGAAAGGAAGAAATGGCGGGCTGGCAAAAGTCATCGCAAGACTAAGGGACCAGCAAGAGCAATGCTTGCAGCAAGAGCAAGAGCAAGACCAGGGGAAGAACCCAAGGCTCTTCGAGGTCCAGGTCTGTTCATGCAGGGTAGTGATGAACTCTTTGTCTGATGTTCTTCTCGCGGGGAGGTGGGGACCTCATTGCCCAATGCTAACTCTCTGTTTGGGACAATGGAAACACAAAACACGCACAAAATGGTATGTCTGAAGGACTTGAGGCAAAGAGTAGCAGATAGTATAGGGTAAAAACAGCTGCTCGAAGGAGGCAGTGAAGCACACTCAAAAAGCTTACCACCAATCATAATCAACACCCCTTTGCGCTTGGAAAACACGGCGGATGGCATCGAGACGTCTGCAGTCAGCACGCGCCTTTCTCCTCTCCTGGCATCAGATGACCTTTTTGGCCACACCAGTGAAACGTTGCTCAGAGCGGAGGTGGATCTTCAGTGTGCTCTGGGAACCTCAGGAAGCCACAGCAAAACCGCGTGCAGTGACAAGACGACATCTACCTGAATCTACCTCAAACTCAGCCAAGTGCTCAGGCATTTCCAGATGGACAGAGGCAAGCTCCTGCCAGGATGCAATCCAGCGCGCTGTTCTGGCCACAAGTCTTCAAGACAACAAGTTTCTTTGGTCCTGCTGCAAGGGCTCTTCAACCTCACCTGCGACGACCGTCTTTGGTGCGCATTGAATTCCCGACAACTTCAGATGCCCGACAGGGCAGGAATGACTTCAGCCAATCCCCTTGGAAAGTTGAGGAAAACCGATTAGAAATATAAAAGAAGCCGGTTCAACTCCAGCTCTGAGCGAGTGTGAATCGTGTTTGGGACGGATTTGTGCTTGGAGCCGCGGGTCCAGCGCTTGATAGTGCTGTCGGACGGTTTACGGTCCTTTGGCCTGCCTGCACCTAGATCGCCATCAGCTTGAACATGAGACTTCCCCATGGCCTGCATCATGCCAGTCGGCACAGGCGTGGCATCTGAGTCAAAGCAGCAGGGCCTGCTTCTCAAGGAGCTTGCCCTCCCTCTTCCTCTGAAGACCTCGCTGATTTCGCATTAGCATTGGGCCCCTGCGAACGAAAATTGAAGCTGCTTCATCGCATTCCCAGGACTAACATGTCTGTGCCAAATCCCCGGTCGCGAAGGAATTCTACAAGGCTCGGCAGAAAACCAGCTAAAGTATTGCCTTTGCCCACGCTAAAAAGGCTGAAGCGTCTTTTCTGTGTATGTCCTTTTCCCAGCAAGGTTTCTCGCTCGGCAAACGAAAAAGAGATCCATTGTATCTTCATCCGGTCCCGGCAGAGCGC